TGGGCATGAAGATGCTTTAGTAAGTGATTTCACAGGATCATAGAAATATTCGATCTTAAGTTGGAACTTCAACACTTGGAGCTAAATATTCATCACCTGGTGGCCAATATGGGGGAGAGGGGTAAGGTTCTCTGCCTTTTGATTGGCTAAATAAACAGTGTGAGCATATGCACACACACACACACACACACACACACACACACACACACACACACACAAGATTGTCAGTTCATACTGGCCTTTTTAGCTTGGTTGGACTTGCCAGAGCTTGAAATCTGTTGGCAAAACTTTCAAGAACTCAGTTATTTCCTTACTTCAATGAGGAATAGGAAGGAGATTTGAGTGGAGAAGCCCTATTTTACAGATCAGGAGACTGAGGTTCAAAAAGATAAACAGGACACCCAATGTAATAAATGTAAATGCTGAGAATTGGATCCAGGGCTTTTTGATTCCAAAACCCAGGACTTTTCCCTATCAGACACTGTAATGTGGCACAAGGGGACAAAGGTAGGGACACTGTGACCTTTGTATGTAGATCAGAGTTATTAGGGTGTACTTCTTTAGATTTTCATTTCAGAATTGCATATTTTTGCCCAGATTCATTCAATAAACTTTCCTTGTATGCTTCCTGTTGCAGGGCAGTGAGCTAGGCCTTCAAGGATAGGTGATGTAGTAGCTACAGTGGTAGACTTTGAGTGAGAAAGATCAGAGTTTGAATTTGCCCCCAAACACCCTAGGAGTGATCCTGAACAGGTCATTTCATCTCTCTCAGCCTCAGTTTCCTCTTCTATAAAATAAGGATGATAATAGCATCTATCTCACAGCATTGGTATGAGGATAAAATGAAATAATAGCTATAAAGTGTTTTGCAAACTTTAAAGCAATATATAAATATTAGCTATCATGAAATGACATAATCCCTGCTTTTAAATCTTGCTGTTTCTACTTTTAACATCTTCTGACTTCTTTCCACTCATAGAGCTACCCCTTAGTTCAAACCCTCATCAATTCTTCCTGTACTATTGCAATTAATTGCTGTCCCTAAGTCTTCTCTCCCACTCTAGTCCAGCCTACACACCGTTGCCAAACTGATTTTCCTGAGTGCAAATCTGGTAGTCTTACTCCCCTATTCAATCACTTCAGCAGCTACAACGATCAAATATAAACTTTCTTTACTTTTTAAAGCCCTTCACAACCTGGCCCTAACCTTTCTTTCCAGTCTCCTCGGTCATTACTCCCTTTCTCACACTTCTTTTCCTTTCTTTTTTTTTGGTGAGGCAATTGGGGTTGTTACTTGCTCTGGGGTCAGGAAAACTTGAGTTCAAATTTAGCCTTGGACACTTATGTTATGTGTCTATGTATTTGAACTCAGGTCCTCCTGACTCCAGGGTTCATGCTCTATTCACTGTGCCACCTAGCTGCCCCACTTCTCACACTTTTAAATCCAGACAAAATGGTCTCTCTGCTCCTCACAAATGACACTCATCTCCCCTGGTTTTGCACTAGCCATCCTACATGCCTCTCTCTTTCTCTGCCTCATAGAGTCTATCTTCCTTTGAGATGCAGTTTAGGTACCATCTTCTGCTCAAAGCCTTTCCTCATTCCCTCAACTGCTATGGCCATTCCTCCCACATTTGGTGTTCAGTTATTCAGTCCTGTTCAATTCTTTGTGACTCTGTGGACCAACAGTCCATGGGGTTTTCTTGGCAAAGATACTGGAGTAATTTGCCATTTTCTTCTCTAGTTTTATACAGGCAGGGGTTAAGTGATTTGCCCACGGTCACACAGCTAGTAAGTTTCTGAGGTCACATTAGAACTCTGGTCTTTCTGACTCCAGGCCCAGTGCTCTAACCACTGAGCCACTCAGCTGCCCAAATATTTATATGTAAATATTTGTTGTAGTTGTTCAGTTTTGTCTAATTCTTTATGACCCTATGGACCATAATAGCATGCCAAAAAATCCAATACTGTCCATATTGTTCTTGGCAAAGACAGTGGAATGATTTGCCATTTCCTTCTCCAGTAGATTAAGGCAAACAGGTTAAGTGACTTGCCCGGCTATTCAGTATGGAAGTCCAAATTTGAACTCAGATTTTCCTGACCCCAGGTCCAAAGTTCTATCCACTGAGCTACTTAGCTGCCTCCTTCCCTTCCAAATTACCTTATATTTATCTACTTTATATATATTTATTCATTTTATATTTATGCTATGTATATGTACTTCATGCATGTATAATACACATACATGTATATATGTATGTTTAAACACATTATATATCCACATACACTTCTTGTCTCCCCTATTAGCTTGTAAAGTCCTTTTGAGTAGCGAATATTCCATTCTTTGTACTTTCATTCCCAGATTGGCTCAGAGTAGGCAATCAATATAAATGTTGATTAATTGATTTAGGAACTAAAAGTCTAGTTACAATCTAAGACAGCAACACTGCTAACTATATTACACAATATTGCATGCTAAGCACTTGAGAAAAGTGTAGTATGCAATGCGGGGTCCAAATGTAAGGAAAGTTTTTGGAAGGGACTGGAGAGTTGTTTCTTGCCCACTTTAATTCTAAGAGCAGCCTACCCTTTCAAGTACATCTCTTAACCAAAGTGATAGAACCCAGGAAAACATCTCTCTTCCCTCAGCAAGTCTGTTAATGCTGATGCTGACAGCCACAAATAAAGGTGACCAAATTTACTGGAGGTCATTGACATTTGTTGAGCAAGCCTGGCTTGTACTATGGGAAGCCTCCAGAAATGCAGTGAGCATAGTGTCACTGATCTGAAGAGCAAAGAGAGGCTGAGTTCATAGAATGTCATTAGAACAGGAAGGGTCTTTAGAATACAGATCACAGAATGCTAGAACTGACAGGAACTTTAGAACATGTGTGTAGGAAGGAACTTAAAACATAGAATATCAGGGCTGGACTGGTCCTTAGGATACAAAACTTTAAACCTGAAATGGGCCTTAGAACAATGAATGCCAGAGTTGGAAGGGCCCTTAACGATCATTTAATATGACATTCTCCTATTACAGATAGGGAAACTAATCCAGGTTCAGATAGAAAGCTCCTTGTGTAAGGTGACTCAATGAGGCAATGACAATTAGAATTCCCAATTACACCACACTGTCCCTTCTGTCGTTCTGATGTTTCTCCTCTGACTAAATTATTCCACTGCCTGGGAGACCAAGTGGATCAGGGAAACTCTGATCCCTATCAGATCACAGTAATTTCATTTTAGTTTATTCATCTGTCAAGTAAGCATAATAATACCTGCCTTACCTGCTTCTCAGGGTCGTTTTAAGGATCTAAGAAGATTATCAACATGCAAATGTTTTGAGAAAATATAAAGTACTTTATAATAGTGCTTCTCATTTGCATAGCATTTTAAACTTACCAAGTGCTTTTGGTATATTATCTCATTTTACCTACGCAACATGACCTGAGGAAAATGTTGCATTATCTATCCTCATTTTACAGATAAAGTAATGATGATAAAGTAATTTGCCCAAGGCCCTGTAGCTAGTAAGGTGACTTGGAACTCAGCCCTGGACTTCTGCCTTACAAAACAATGCTCTAGTGCCTTCCCTCTGTTTTTTATTTCCAATTTATTTTGCATATAACTTATTTGTACAGTTATTTTCACGTTTCCGCCCCCCTTTAGACTGTAAGCTCCTTGATAGCAAAGATTGTCTTTTACACAAAAGACGAGTGTCTTTTACACTTGGCATATAGCAGTTGCTTAATAAATACTTATTGATTGACCTTTGAACATAATCCGGTTTTTCATGTGGGGGGTTATTAACCTATTATGGAATGCACAAATGTGTTTGAAAACATCCAGGGTATTGGTTATCAGCACATTTTAAATAACATTGATTGCAAGAGTTAAAATTTAAGACCATGCTTATCATGAAACTCTGTTGCTCATCATAGCTAAAGAAACGGCTAATAGCCTTCAATAAATACTTTTTCATTGGTAACCATTATCGGTCTCTCCCTTCCTGATAGCTCACTGCACTGTTTAATCCAGTTCCACATCTGAGGCTATGCTTCTGCTTTATGGTTCTATACTGTCACGCTTTGGTCGGGAGGTACTCTCATCCCATATAAACTGTAAGCTCTGTGAGGGCTTAGCTGGAGCCAGCGGGACAACACTTTAGGCGGGCAAAGTAGGGTCGTCAGGATCTGGTAATTTGGTGACGTTCCCTGACGGCTCCCCACTCCCTTCCTCCCCCTACACAGCGCCAAGGGAAGGGGTAGTGGGAAAGACCCAGGGAAGATCCACAATACGCTTACAGCTTTTCAGCCACTTTCTGGTTAGAAGACCCCATCTCCCGCCACTTCCACCCCCTCCAGGTCTCCGGGCCCAGAGAATGGGCACTGAAGGAAAACTCCGTGGGTTAGGCCAGAAGGCCAACTCGCCCCCAGCCCCGTGTGCCGCAGTGGACGAGGAGCAGGAATGAACTTTGCAGACGGCCCCTTGGTTGCGGGGTGGGGTGGGGGGCGCCCAAGCTCGGGAAGAGCATTTGAGCGACACTCCCTGGATCCTGGCGGTGGGGTGGAGGGGGTTAGGAGGAAGGAGGGGGAAGGAGGAGGAGGAGGGAGTGGAGGGCCGGAAGGGAGGGTGAGTAATCGCCAGGGGACGGCCCCTGCGTGCCGCAGTCGGGGGTTTGAGCCGGAGAAGAGGCGAAGGGGAATTTGGTGATAGTGCCTCCGGGGACCTGCCCCCGGCCCGCCCCGGCCCCGCCCTCGCCGCTGCGCTCGCTCCGGGGCGGCTCGGGCCCCCGCCCCGTTCATGTGGCCCGGCCCGCGGCGGCCGGCGGCGGGGGCACGGAGCGGCCAGGAGGCGGTGGCGGCGGAGGTTGAGGCTGAGGAGGAGGGAGCGGAGGCGGCCCAGATGTGAGCAGCGGCGCGGTCCGTCCGCCCACACCCGCCGTCCGGCTCGGCCTCGGCCCCGGCCCCGGCCCCTGCCCCCGTCAGGCCGGCTGCACCATGCGGAGCCGGCGGGGTCTGCGGCTCCCGCGCCGCTCGCTCCTGGCCGCGCTCTTCTTTTTCTCGCTGTCCACAACCTTCCTCTACTTCGTGTATGTGGCGCCCGGTATAGGTAAGGCCCAGAGGCGGCTCCGCTCGTCTCCTTGGTAACATCCCCCCCCCCCGAGCCGCGGCCCCTGCGCGCCCCCTCCGCCGGCCGGCCCTCCGGAGGAGACGCACCAACGGGCTCCCTCCGACCCCGCTCTCGGACCCCGCTCTCGAACCCCGCACTCCGCGTGGGTCGCGACTGCATCCTACCGCTCCCCGCCTCGCTCGGCCCCCCCAGATCCAGGCTGCTTTCGAACCCCGTAGTCCTTCCCCACTCATCTCTTCTAAAGCCCTCTCTGACCCCCGCATCTCTTCTCTCTGCTTTTCTCACCCCTTTCTGCCCCCCTCTCCTTGTCCGACCCCTGCAGTCTTTTCTATCTCCTGACTCCCCATCCCTTCCCTCCTTTTCTGATCCCTTCATCTTTTATCCTTTCCTTTTCTGACCCCCCTTCCTTTTCGTTTCCTGACCTCCTGTCCTTTCCCTTTCTTCTTCTGAAACCCCCATCCCTTTCCTCTTTTTTCTGACCCCCTCATCTCTTCTCTCTTCTGAACCTTCATTTACCCTCTTTTCCTGACCCCTCCATCCCTTCCCTCTTTTCTCTTACACTCATCCTCCTCTCTTATTCTCCCTCTTCTGAGTCCCCCATTCTAACGCAATCCTGCTACTTCATTCTCCCCCAATCCTTTCCTCCTTACACTCCAGTCTTCTTAGCTCCCATCTTCCTGATCACTCCTTTCCTTTTTCCTCACCTCCTATCTCTCCTGTCTCTTTCTCTCTCTTTTATTCTTCTCCCCCCCGCCTTCAACCCTCATTTCCTTTGCTCTGGTCCCTTTTCTTACCTGCATCCCTTTTTCTCCTCTCTTCCAACCCTTACCTTGCCTAAGGCTGTCTCTTTTCCTGAACTCCTATCAATTACCCCCTCCTACCAACCTCCTCTATTTTCTTAACCTCATTCTGCCACCTCTATTCTATCACTCCCTCCTTTCCTATCTATTTTGAGCCTCCTTTCATTTCTTTTCCTCTCATGGCTTCCTTCTTATCCTTTTCTACTTCTGACCTCTTCTTTCTAACAGACTATTACCTAGCTTCTGCCTGGTCCACTCTCCTCCCCACATTTCTCTATCCATGCGCATTTGACTACCCTGCATACACACGGACCGATGCTGGGTCATGGCCAGACTCCAAATCCTTTCTTCCACTTTTGGAATACCCCAGGCACCTTGCCTTGTATTTCCCGCTTGTCTTTTCGCTTCCATCCTATGTCTCCTGCCCTATATTTCTTCGTGTTCTCAGTTCTCCTGCCCTCCCACAAGGGCACACATGTTTTCCCCATCTTCCCTTCTCCTTCCTGTCCAGAGAGGCCTTGGCTTGTCCAGTTTCCTCTTGGGGAGTCATACTTCTAGCCACATGGAGAGATGACTGGTTCTGGGCAATAATATCTTCCTATAATCTGTAGTCCCCCTACTGCTCACCCTTCAGACTAAGGTTAGGGGCGCTGCATCAGTATCTGCTAGGGTAGTGGAGGTGGGGCCTGGACCTGTGAGATGAGTTTGCTCTTGGGCTTGGAGAAAAGCCTCGGGTGAATCGAAGGTGAGAAGGGTATTCATTTTGTCTTGCTGTTTTTTTGAAATTCTTCTAGGCAGAAAACTTTAATTGTGTTTAAGTAGGATTAGGTAGATCTGGGCAGACTTTTTTTAAGTCATGCCCCTTAAGCCAAATGCAAATTTACTAGAGAGCATTTTGTTGGAAGCAAAACTTGTCCTTGAGAAAAGACTTAGGGGACTCCCCCCCCCACCAAATAGGCACTTTCTAGCAGGAGAAGTGGACTGGGAGACACTGAGAGATTAGTTTGTGAACTCTGAGGAAAGGTTAGATCTGACTTTCTTATTGAAAGCTACTGTAGAAACTTTAAGATAATTTAATTTAGGGTAGGAGGAAAGTAGTGTTTGGGGCAAAAGAAGAGATCAGGAACTGGTTGGGAATTAAGATGGGCAAACCTTTTAGCTACAGAGACATGCTTTTTTAGTACTATGGTATTTGGTGCTATACTCTGTTGAATTATCAAACACTGAACTAGCAGAATAGAGAAATTTCCAGCAAAGCAGGAGGTTCTCCCCCACTCACTTTTGAATAAAATAAGCATATTTCACTTTATGGTTAATATTAGTGTTTCATATTATCAACTGGGGATTAGGTAAAGTGTGTGTGTGTGTGTGTGTGTGTGTGTGTGTTTAAGCTGTAGTGCTTTTAAAGACCCTTTGACAACGTTCTAGGGAAATAGATGACATTAATTTGCCTTAGCAGGGTCAAAAGTGCTTTTTTATGGAAAAGTATCCCACTTTGTGTGTTTGGGAAGAGGGAGGGAGGGAAAGGAAAAAGTGATAAGAATGTTTGCTAGAGAGAAATTGCTGAGTAATTAGTGATACTACTTGAGAGTAGGTATCAGTCAGTATCCTGTTTGACACTATTCACTCTAATAATCATTTGAAATTTATTACAAAGGGAAATATGCAGCACTTCATTCCTTCAGCTTTTGTGTACAATGTGACATGTATTTCAGGTTGTGGTATTTGGATCAACCACATTAAAAAAAAAGTTGATTGGAATCCCTATTTTATTTTAAAAGGTTGGAAACTAAATTCTCTGACAGAAATGTGACTTAAAATTGACTTAAATTCTTTAACACCACATTTTTGAGTTAGCAGAATTAGAGTGGTTCTTTTTGTAAAGCTATGCATTTTAAAATTGTTCCTGAATTTTCCCATATTGCTTTTAACTGAGAAAAGAAAAAGACAGAATTTTAGTTCTGTTCAGAAGGGAAGACTAAAAAAGGTATGCAAAGGCCTTTTGGTTTAAATCTAGCTAAATTTAGTTACTACATTGGGATTTCTCATCAGGGACTTAAGGCCTCAAACGTCCATTTTTAGCATTATTGAGCTGCTCTCTAGTAATAAGATAGACATTTTTTTTAAAAAAGATAAGATAACCTGGAGAAAGGGATTGAAAGAAGAGGATGGTAAACATTTTGAGGGTAAATGCCTTAATTGAACTGCCCTTTAAAATGGATTTATGATGTATTAAATTTACAAGTAATTATAATTGAGTTTTGTGGTATGGAAGAAAGTGTCAAACTTACAGATTTATTTTTTTACTGGATTTTTGTTTTGCTACTTCTTGTTTTTTCTTCCATTAACACTTTTTTGGTTTTGTAGCCAATTCAAATATGTTTAAGGGATAAAGACTACTTATCTCTTCGGATGTGTGGTTCACAGTGTTCAGAATGGGCAAACTAAGAATCACGTCAAACTATTGATGTGGATGCCTTGGTTGGTAAGCAGTACACCATTAACATGGAAGCTCTGAGATCTAATGCCAGCACTGTTAGATGTGGTGCTGGGTCATAGTCATTCCCATAGTCAAATGGGAATAAGGAGATCTGCTCCCCTCCCAAACTTTTGTTGGGATGTAACCATTAAACATGATCATGAAACACCAGGTTTATGGTGGTGCCTAACTTAAATACTGGCATAGCATATTCAGGCATTTTTACTCCTAAATCTAATTGAGTGTGCTTTCATTAGTCAGGATGTTCTCATTGGAGGCTAAGGATATTTTTGGTTATTAAAAAAGAACTCATGTGTAATGGTTTCAGACTGTCAATGTGACTCTGGAAGAAGATAATGGTTAGAATATGGAAGCTAAGTGGGGAATATGTTCCTCTTATATACAGTGAGACAAAAAGAGTTTAGTTGCACATTACTTCTATATGGATATTTGACTGTTTTAAATGGCTAAACAATTTTCTGTTTATAGACAGTAAATCATGAGCAAGGGGGTTTCTTGGGGGGAGAAGGGGAGTTTTGGTTTAAAAAAGATTTTTTTAACTGGGCTAGGAGCCATACACATTGATATTTAAATATCGCTTTTTGCCTCACTTAGCTTGACTCTTAAGCCCTTAGAGATCTAAGGAAGTATTATGGATGTATAATAAAGATACTTTGTACTTTTAAAATGAGACCTACACTTAACAAAAATTTTGCTGGGGTCAAAATTCCTTACTCCTATTTGGCTGTGCCTTTAAAAGGTTTTAATTCCTAGGAAGAAAACTTTTTTATAGCAATATGTGATCTAATAGAGTGAAAGCTTCTTAATCCAAGTGTTGGGCCATAATATTGTGTGATGTTGTATGTTGAGGTTACAGAATTTGAAATCAGCTAAAAGCAGAAAATCACATTTTAAAATCACTCGCAGTGCTGCAATTCAGTGAACAGTTTAGTTTAACAAACATTTAAGTGCTTACTGTGTAGAAGGCACATAGTATCCATCTGGGATACTGTTATTATGATACAAATACAAAATTGAACTCCCTGCCCCCAGTACACTTAAAATACAGTAGGAGATAAGATGTGTACAAGTAACTACTATGTAAAGTCTGAGAGAGATATTTAAGAAGGCTGTGTGTGGTAATGAAGGACTAATATAGATGGACTGTTCAGCTAATAGGAATTCTGCATATGGTCTGTTAGGAACCTGAAAATTCCTTGGGTTGAACTTGGCCTGCTGTTTGGACAAAGGTGAAATCAGTGAACTTGAGAGTCATGATTCTGTAATTCACTGGGTCTGCCTGGTATGGATTCAAAATGTGAATAATAAACTGCATTGGAAAAGGTTGGAGGAGAATTAGTTGGGGTATGGGTCCTATGGAGTCAGTAATACTGTATGTCCCAAAAGTCTTGGAGTTTTAAGCTATTAAGGTATAGTTCCAAAATGAGATCTATCTAGCCTGCCCCTTCCTCCTCCCCACCCCCATATAATTTACTCTTATGTCATCTGCTTGAAAGAAAGAAAAGTTGAATGGTTTTCCTCTAGAGAAAGGTTATCTTTTGAGAATATAGTGGTCGGAAAGAAGGCAATGTTAATTGGAGCCTTGGTTCCTCCGACTTGCTGTGACTGGATGATTTTGGACCGGTCTTTTAACTTTGTTGTGTCTCCTCATTTGAGGCAAAAAGCCTCTAGAATAGCTG